GTATTTTTATGCAGTTGCAATAATTTTTCTGAATATCAGACGACCATAACGAATAGGAGCTCATATCTCCTTCAATTCATCTCGAGTACCTTGTCTGAGACAATTCAATCCGACCATATAAACAGTAATAATCTGAATATCTACCGAGAGGTTTTTTCATGTTCTGGTTTTCACGAAAAGGGATATCCTGTTATTTCCAGAGAACATCGTGAGAATCGGTAGAAATAAGATAGGAATTGGTGTTCTTCTTGAATATCTGGAGGTTATATGCCTCGAGGAACACCTCCCTTGGCAATGTGTTCCAGAGCCTCGCTGTTCGTTGGATGAACGAGTCTCTGGAAAGAGATGTTTTGCAGGTCTCCAAAGTGACCACGAAGTGGTGCGAAGAATATCGTCCTTGAAAATATCTACTTTTCTACGGTGTTCCAGAGAAGTGAGTAAGTTTGTGAGCGAGACGAATTGCCGTTTTTTGGACCGAATTCAACTGTTTCAGGGTATGTTTGGGTGCTGAACTCCAAATATAGGAACAGTATTCCAGGACAAGTCGGATATGTGCCTACCAGATCATAAGCAGCTGACTGAAAGTGAAATAGCTCCTAGCCAGAAACAGAAACCTAAGTTTTTGGGATGCACTTTCAGCAATTGATCCCACGTGAGATACGATAAAATTATTATTTAGACTATATAAGTCGGCTATTTGTCATAGTATCGGGATGAAACCTATAATTAGTATAGCCTCTGGACTGTAAAACAATCACAGTTGGTGACACAAAAAGAATCCTTCACTGAATTATCTCTTGCGAATTGTTTTTATTGCGTTAGTCGACCGTGTAAAACAATGTAATTTACATCTCTCAGCATTTTTGACCCGAATGCGAACAATTCAACCCACTCGCCGACATTATGCAAAACACCCCTGTCGTATTAATCTTGTAAATGATTATGTAAATGGCGTAGTTATACACTGGAATGGCTCTTTGAGTGTCTTCTTATTTATTTCGAGTTCGAAAACTTTTATCGTACCCCGAGAATAATTGCTTCCTGCAGTTCCCGTCACTCGCTCTTTCTCCATTTTTATAGTGCCCCATTTCGATGAAGGGTGGGATTTTATATTCACAATTTCGACGAAGGTTGATCGGATGATGCGGATGAGACTTTGTAATAAATGGCAACACTGTTACCAGTTTTGTATACACAGATAAAAAGGAATTCTTCAATCAAACGAATCCATTTTCTTGAAATAAGATTGCTTCGTATAAGAATTTTCCATTTGAATCAATTAGCTTGCTTGCTTCGTTTCTTGAAATTTCTTGATATAAATTTGCTCAACATTAACAGTACTTTATTTATTCAAGGAAACTGTGACTACCAGTGACATACATTCCAATTCATATTGGTTCAAGAAACTTGATATCACTCTCGGTCATAACGTTCCTTGGGATAATCACGTGAGATCAATTGCTGAAAGTGCATCCCAAAAACTTGGTTTTTTGTCTCGATCCAGGAGCTATTTCACTTCTAGTCAGCTGCTAATGATCTATGAGGCACAGATTTGACCTGTCCTGGAATACTGTTCCCATATTTGGAGTGCAGCACCCAAACATACCCTGAAACTGTTGGATTCTGTCCAAAAGAAGGCAATTCGTTTCGTGGGTGATGCCTCGCTCACAAACACACACACTTCTCTGGAACACCTCAGAAAAGTTAGCGATCTGGCTCTATTTTATAGATAGCTCCATGGAAGATGCTCTTTCGAAATATCAACAATTGTTCCTCCCTTGGCAGTCCCCGCAAGATTAACACGTCGAGTTGAGGATTATTCGCACCACTTCGTGGTCACTTTGGAGACCTGCGGAACATCTCTTTCCAAAGACTCGTTTATCCAACGAACAGCGAGACTCTGGAACACATTGCCAAGGGAGGTGTTCTTCGAGGCATATAACCTCCAGAACTTTGAGAAGAACACTAATTCCTACCTTATTATCCTTGGTTCTCACGATGTTCTTTGAACATTACAGGATATCCCTTTTCGTGGGAACCAGAACATAGAAAAAAAATTAACAAATTTGTTTTCCAACTTCATAGTGTTCAAGAATCAAGTGTGCTGAGTCAATGATATAATAATAATGGTGTGCATGGTATCATCTCCTCAGCAATGCGACATTTCACATTCGAGAACAATATGCGATGGTGAGTAGAGTACGTATAGGTATAGGTATCAATTTCGAACAGGAATGGACTCTGAACTTCGGATGTTATTGTAACATTATTGTACTCAGGTGTTTCTCCTCCCTATTTTATCGAAAACTTGCTATAGAAACCTTGATATCAATATCAATCATACCTCAAACCATACCTACACACCACTTCCAACGCATATGGCCATGTTTATATACCCTGCAAAACCCATTCGTTATTCTTTGAGCAATGACGATTTGGCTAATCGCATTCATTCGATTAACGCCCTAATAGATAAAGGTGGTATAGGTGATTGTTCATTCTCTTTATATTTTGTTCTGGATTTCCTAATTAGAATTATTAAACCAATGATAATTCGTCTCCTTCCTTCGTGTTTTCACATGAACCTTAGTGATTTCATACAGGTTCTTTTGTCAAATGCAGATTTTCTTTTTACCAGAAATGACAATTTGAATTCTTTTTTATTTTCGACAATGCCTTGCTGTTGATGAAGAATATTTTGTTTCTTCTGGAGCAAGTTCTGAATATGTACTCGGTTAATGATTTTCATTCACTCTGCAAAACATGCCAAACATTTTTGAAGTGATGGTTCCACTTCTCTTCCTAGGTTTTCGGGGTTCAACATTCAAGCAGAGTGACATCCTGGGGAAAGAGACGAGGACAGCAAAACACAAAAATCTAGAAAAATTAATATTACAACACCCAGACTGTTTCCATTTATATCATACATGTTTCCATTTCTGTTATGTTATAATAGATGAACAAAGTTTGGATGATGAAGCTTTTTGTTTAGCAAGTGTTAGAGTTCCTTTTTTTTTAGGTGATAGCATCAATTCTCTGATCGTGAGCTGTACTCCCATTTCCTTCTGAATAATATTTTTTTGGCACAAGAAAATGAGGAACTTCTGAACAAATATTCACTCATTATAATGAGACATTATCTCTCTGTAAGAAGCTCATTTCCTGAATCAAGAACAAAATTGTTCAACTGTGATTGGAGATTGACTTGACATTAGAAGAATTTTTTTGTTTCAAACTCATTAATCCTATTTTCGACCAATACATACTGTGATAATGAACAAATATTCATTCGAATCAAGATTTCCTTTTATGGAAAAGTCAAGAAAGTTCCGTTGAGAATTCGAACAAATATTTGGTTGGACTACCCTCTTCAAGAGAGCCATATGCTTGATTCAATGTTGTTTCGCATTGAATCAAGACATAATTTTCATCTGTGTACAGTGTGTGTGTGTGTTTGCATAACATTCCATAAGCTTCTTCCATCTATTTTATGTATTTTCCTCAGCTTTATGAGAAAGACTACTCTTATTGATGAAACGAAACAACATTAGCTCATCAACATTAAAGTTCAAACAAGTATCTTCCTCGTCTACATTTCAATTCACATCTAAAAAAAATTCTCAATGTATACTCAATGTAATGTATGCTTAATGTATTTCTGTCCCATCTCCATGATATATTTGAGAATATCCCTTTCCAATACTCCATGATTAATGAAGCAGGAAGAACAGTAATAAGTGAAGTGATTATCTTCAACTGAACCTGTAATTCATTCTTTATACATATATTTGCTCGAAATTTGGTCAAATTAGGAATATTAAATCGTTTTATCATTCAATAAAAATAACGAGTAAATTATCAGTTTGTGACCACCTATAATATCCATTTTGTATTCTGAGTCATTCAGTATCATCATGGAATGGAAAATATGATGAAATGCTGATTCGAATTTAATAATATGTATGTAGATCCAGATGCCAACCTATTGTCGATCGATCAATATGATAAGTAGAAACCTTTAATCAAGAAATTGATTATTACTGAAATACAGGGCAGGCACAAACCATTATACTTATTGATGTCATTCCAGATCAGACAAACCTATCGAATTGTTGAATAAATCATGTAGTCACAGTGATCGACTTTTCGCCTCTTTCTACTTCCTTATCACAATACGCGAATTGAATATCAGCTTTTGGCAAAATATTTACGAAAATATCAACGCTCTGCCACCTAATCAGATCAGTTTGAATCGCAGCACGTTTGGATATTCGTGTAAAGGACATTTTTCATTCCATTTGCTTTTTGTTTTGACTCGTTATCACTTGACGGAAGTAAGTGCGACATATTAGGAGCAAATGAATCGCTGTGCTCTGGGTTTGACTCAGTCTGAGGAATGGCACAGATAGGTTTTTAGGAACTTCTATTCAATTGACATCAGATGGCATTTTTCTTATCTCGTTATCAAATCGTGAGGTAGAGTGCAAATTTCCGCACAGCAAAATACACTCTTCATATAATTTTGCTCAGGGTAGGAATTGGTAGAAGTGCCTTTCGATGAACGTTAATGATATGAGCAGTAAAAAATCACACTTGGCACCTATACATTTCGAGAAAATTATTACATAATAATTATCGATTTTCAACTTCAACGTCCTGTTTTTCAGAATCTGTTCATCAAACATCTTGAGAATTTCGCAGGTTCAATCAGTTCATCAAATTCTACATTATACTGAAAATTACGAAATATTCACCGAGAACGATTTCACGTACTGAAAGTGCGGAGTCCTTTCCCTACAGATATGCTGCATAAATTTTGATTCCTGAATTTTTCAAAATTATTCCGAATACAGCAGTAGTAAAACACACTGTATTATATTCATAACGACCAAGAATCGCAATCGCCGTTAACCCATTTTGCTTCCCATCTAATCCATTCGGTGGAATATAAGACGTTGTGTCTGCAAACATCGTTGAATGAAATATCAATACAAACTTACTGTTTCTCCGTTTCGCTGAAACTTGTGGAGAACTTTATCCAACCACAGCCATTGCTTCTGGGCATCCGCCTCGTAGTCTGAATGTTTCATCAGATTAGTATTGAGGACCACTATTTGCAGTTTGAGCATTTTTCGTTCTATTATATAATAGCCACCTGGAACGAAATGATCAAGTATTAGGTACATACATTAAACGTGCATTCTTCAAGGTTATTTTATACTGCATCGAAATCTCAGTAGTATTGTGTGAAATTGCTGATAATTTCTATAATTTGGCGAAAGAGCCATATTCTTCCACCAAAATATGCAATAGGGTGGATTTCAATAGACAATAAATAATTGGCCCAAATGGAAAATTGCATGGGTGCTACTATTCTACTACGAAATATCTATGGATGTCTCTATTATATCTACAGGGAACTTCACGAAGCCAGTTTAGGCCTTGCAAATTGAAGTAAGTAATTGGAAATCATTCATCTTCCACAAAGTAGAGGTACATAAAATGGAAGCTCTTGTAACAAAACATGAAACGTGCATTCTTGAAGGTTATTACATACTGCATCGAAATCTTAGTGTTATTGCCTGTAATTGCTGATAATTTCTATAATTTGGCGGAAGACTCATATTCATCCACCAAAATATGCAAAAGGAATATGAAAGCCAGTTTATGCCCAGCAAATTGAAGTAGGTGATTGTAAATTATTCATCTCACACAACGGTAAGGAACATGAAGTGGATGGTCTTTTAACGAAACATGAAACGTGTATACTTGCAGGTTATTACATACTGCATCGAAATCTTAGTAGTAATGCCTGGAATTGCTGAAAATTTCTATAATCTGGCGAATGAGCCATATTTCTCCACCAAAATACGCAATAGAAGTATGGGTTTCAATAGACAATAAATAATTTGCCCGAAAGGAAAACTAATAGATGATATTCTGATGCATGAGTTCCATTATCCTGATAGGAGATTCATGGAAATCTCTAATATATCTATGGGGAACTTCACGAAGTCAATTTATGTCCTGCAAATTGAAATGAGTATTTGGAAAATATCCATCTTTCACAAAGTAAAGTAACATACTATGAAAACTTTCGCAACTGAACATAAAACGTGCATTCTCGAAGGTTATTACATACGACATCGAAATCATAGTAGTATTGCCTGAAATTGCTGATAATTTCTATAATTTGGCGAAAGAGCCATGTTCTCCCACCAAAATATGCAATAGAAATATGGATTTCATTGGAAAATAAATAATTTGCCCGAATGGAAATTATTTGACTATTCTGATGCATGAGTGTTACTGTACGTATATGGTTACTGTTTAACTATGAAAATCTCTATTATATCTGAAGGCAACTTCACGAAGCCTGTTTATGACCTGCAAATTGAAGTAAGTGATTGGAAATTATTTTTTTCCACGAAGTGAAGGTACGTGAAATGGAAGCTCTTGTAACGGAACAGGAAACGTGCATTCTTGAAGGTTATTACATACTGTATCGAAGTCGTAGTAGTATTACCTGATAATTTCTATAATTTGGCGAAAGAGCCATATTCTTTCACCAAAATATGCAATAGGAATTGGATTTCGATAGACAATAAATAATTTGACCGAATGGAAAATTATTTGAATATTCTGAGGCATGAATGTTACTGCTTTTGGGTATGATTAGTTGACATTCATCATACAGGGCGTGGAAAGAAATTCTGAATTGAGACTATCACGAATCTGCGATTAGAGGTCTATAAAAATCACGAGAATATGACAGCTTTTTTAACTGATCTTCGACCTTTTCCTTTTTTTCTTCAAAAATATCTGCCAATGAGAACATCATTCAATACTGTTTTCAGATATACAGGGTGTCTGTAAAAGGTCTTTACAAAAACATACCAAATATTTCCTTGACCAAAATAAGTCGATTTGAGTAAAATTACCTCAGTACAAAGTTGTATCGTTTGGGCTCCAGAGGGCCTTGAAGTTACAATTTTTAAATGGTTTTTTCCATATAAATTTAAAACGGCATATGCGATTTTGCTGAAATTTGGTATATTGATAGAGTTCAATGTGGCATAGGGAATGGTGTCGAACTTTTTTCCGATATCAATCCATAGGCGTAGAACTTAATTTTTTTAATAATTGCACCTTTGAAAATTCTACGCCAATGGAAGAAAAGGAGTTTGAGTATGAAATTTAGATTGCGCAACTCATTTACTTTGAAAAATGTACTCTTGACAAGACTCGATTGCTCTCATGGTTTTGACGAAATTTGCATTTTAGTAATTTTAGAACATAAACAATAATTATTAAAATACAAACTTGTCAAAACCATGAGAGTAAATCGAGTTTTATCAAGGGTAGTTTTTTGTAGTAAATGAGTACCCAATCCAAATTTAATACTCAAACCCTTCTTCTGCCATAGGCGTAGAACTTGATTTTTTAAATAATTGCACCTTTGAAAATTCTACGCCAATGGCAGCAAAGGGGTTTGAGTATGGAATTTGGATTGAGAACTCATTTACTACGAAAAAGTACCCTTGATAACACTCGATTTACTCTCATGGTTTTGACAAAGTTTGTATTTCAACGATTATTGTTTATGTTCTAAAATTACTAAAATGCAAATTTCGTCAAAACCATGAGAGCAATCGAGTCTTTTCAATCGTACCTTTTTTGAAGTAAATGAGTTGCGCAATCTGAATTTCATACTCAAACTCCTTTTCTTCCATTGGCGTAGAATTTTTAAAGGTGCAATAATTTAAAAAATCATGTTCTACGCCTATGTATTATTATCGGACAAAATTGTAACACCATTTTTTTGCCACATAAAACTCTATCAATATACCGAATTTCAGCAAAATCGCATATGCCGTATCGAATTTATATGGGAAAAACGATTTGAAAATTGTAACTTCAAGGCCCTCTGGAGCCCAAACGATGCAACTTTGTACTGAGGTTATTTTACTTAAATCGACTTATTTTGGTCTAGGGAATATGTGGTATGTTTTTGTAAAGACCTTTTACAGACACCCTGTAGAATGCGCATTCTCGATTTTTGTACAATCTTTTCCAATTTTCATAATATAAGGTAGAAAATTCCTTCTCAATAATCACGATAACATGAATCTATTGAAACAAATTGGCGCATATTTGATAAGAGTTTTCAGGCCAGGAGATATCCCGTATCCTGGTAGTAGGAGAAAATTTATAAAAATTTTGGTATTTATGAAAAATTCTTTAACAAAATGGTGAGATCAAATCACTCCTGTGTCGACTCCTGTGTCGACCAAACAACTAGGAACAGTCCTCATTTTGGTTCCAATATTGTTCAATATTATATTGAATCTATTCAACATATTCATTACTGAACAGGTAGAAGGTAATTATGTGGGATTAAGCATAGCTTCTGTGGTGTATACCACACTGAATTATCATTGCTATTATACTGGTTGTAGGAAATGTGACGGGTTTCACTAATCTACCTTCATCCCGATAGCAACATTATATGGCGATGCTGCCAGGATAGCATTCATGGAAAAAAATGTATAGTCACTTTCTAATCATTGCAAGCTTATAGTGCATAAATATCCGCAAAATCAAAAAGAAATAATAATATTTGTAGTAATTAAATATGACTATTATCAATAGTATATTCATATATTCATTTTCTCATGTTTATAATTCAACCCAGAATATATGGGGGTGCCAATTGAAAAACCAAAGTTATGGGTGGTTTTCAGTGAATTGTTTGATATGAGGGAGATCCGTTCATTGTGTTGAAGAGCTTTTACTCGCACCTATTTTGTATTATATATAAATATATCGGGTGAGACAGACTCATGGTATACCCTTCTCTTTTTTTTGTTCTTTCAACAATATTATCAAATTCTTGAACATCAGATATGCTCACTAGAGGGCACTTTCTCACGTTACATTTCTTCTCATATTCTGGTTTCTGGACATCAACTTTGAATTTTCAAATTTAAGAACGATACCGGGTGTGATTGGGATATTCCAAATGATGACGGAGATATTTGCATTAGGAATTTTAATAAGCTCATACAGTGTGACCCACTTGTGATGGAAACGTAATCGTTGGGTGAGGATCCTGAAATTTGCTGAAGCGAGAGATATACCAAAAATACACTCTATGACCAAGTTGAGTCATCTTCAGTGATATACACTGCTCGCTAACAGCCATGGAACTACCCCAATTTCCGCAAAATTATATGAGGAATAGGTTGAAAATCACCTCGGATTCGGAATCAGGACGCCTAATTCACTAACCATTTATAGTTTTTTCTTACAAGTTTTTGTTAAAAAAAGTTGAATTTTGCCTTACTTTTCATCGAAGCACCCCCGTGCCTCGCGTAATTATTGAGGTAGGGTTCTGAAATTTGCAGGAGGAAGAAAAAGTACAAAGATAAAGTCAATTGAATAAGATACGGGGTTGTTTCCGTAAAAAGTGCAACAAAATTTGGTTTTTCAAAACTGAAAACTTTTCAGGCAAAAAATCAATAGTTAGTTGTTGGTTGGACGTCCTGATTCCGAATCTGAAGTGATCTTTGACCTATTTTGACTCCCAATATCATTTTCCGGGAACTGGGATGGTTCCATGGCCGTTGGTGAGCAGTGTATATCACTGAAGATGACTCCACTTGATCATTTTTGGTATATCTCCCGCTTCAGCAAATTCCAGGATTCTTATACCCAACGATTACGTAAGATACAGAGGTTTTTTTCCTTATAGTAGTGGGTCACACTGTAGAAGCATAATTATGGAAACTCCGAACGCGATTATCTTCATATTCATAAGAAATAACTCTCCAGACCTAATATTGTTGGATGTTTCAATGATCCGTAACTGATCATGGAATGGAATGAAGATTATTTCATGTGAAAATAGGAAGTTGATGTCATTTCTAGAAAACCCTGGAGACCAAAGAAAATTCCTGAAATGTGGGCTCTAGTGAGCATCTTCGATGTTCGATTCCAGAAATATAGCTAGAAAAACAAAAAGAAAAAAAAAAGGGTCATACAGTCTGTCACCTGGTATACCCAAGAAAAACAATGATAAATGTTCATAGTGAGTGCCGCTGACGTTAAAATACCCAATAAAACTTTATGTGGTTTTATAAAACCAATTACTTC